GTATTTAATGAAGTTCCCTTTTCTTTTAAAATCGTAGGAAAAAAATTCCTTTTGCCTTTTAGAAATGAATTAGCTTAATATTCCCTGTTCCAGGCATATTTAATTTGTATTAGCTTCCTGTGCTTTAATGTAGTAAAATCAGTCTTCATGCTCTAGATTTACTTTTATAATGATCTATTGAATAATAAAACTAATCTCATAGAATAAAATTTCTCAAGATTAATACATTTTTTTCTGGAACTTTCACTGTGGGTAATATGGACTTTTTGTAATAAATAATATCACTTGATAAACAGTTGAATTAAAGCTATTATACCTCATGTATTTCTTTTTAATGTAGATATTGACATAGAACTCTTATTTGTTTTAATGTGTTTAAATTTATTTTTTACTTAGCTGAATGCAATATTCATACATCTCCTTCTCCGGGAATTCAAGTAAGGCATGTCTATACTCCCTCTACCACAAAGCATTTCTCACCCATAAAACAGTCAACTACTCTAACCAACAAACACAGAGGAAATGAGGTCTCTACTACACCTCTGTTAGCAAATTGTAAGTATTTGCTACTTGATGTATTAAAATATTCTTATTACTAATATAGTAGTTTGAAGAGTTTGACTTTAAAACATTATTTCCATTAAGTACATATTCTCTGGATAAAGGAAATGTGGTATAGATACACAATGGAATACTATTCAACCTTTAAAAAGAAGGAATTTTTATTGTTTGCAACAGCATGATAAACCTGGAGGACATCATGCTAAGTGAAATAAGCCAGGCACAGAAAGTCAAATGCCACATAATCTCGCTTATATGTGGAGTCCAAAAAACTAGAACTTGTAGAAGTCGAGAATAAAAGATAGTAACCAGGGGTGGGGAAAGGGCGTGGCTGGGGAAAGGGGAGATGTTGATCAAAGGGTACAAAGTTTCAGCTAGACAGGCAGGAGGAACAAGATTTAATGACCTATTGCATAAAATAGACTATAATAAATTATGCATTATATATTTCAAAATTGCTAAAAGAATAGATTTTAAATGTTTTCATCATGAAAAATGATAAGTATGTGAGGTGATAGATTTTTGTTAACTAGCTTGATTTAATTCTATCATGTAAACGTCTATCAAAACATCACATTGTACTTAAT